TTGTTTCTCCTTGTTCACACACAAACTGAAGTGAAAGATGTCGAGCAAAAGAGAGTATTTCAATGTCCTGGCCTGATTAGAAACTGTGGACAGTATATCTGCATTACGTGGTGTAACATCAGCTGAAACACTAATAACAACTCGACCACCCTGAGACCCATAATTTACACGCTTGGGATCAGAGACAACTGAGTTTTCCAAGTAAGTGTCACCACAAAAACTAACTGAACAACGTTCAACATTAAATTTTAAAAGTCGAGTGCCCTTCCCTGATGGTTTAGATGAACGCCCTGTCTGGCTCTGTGTTGCTTTCTTACCAGCAGAAAGAGTTTTGAACAGTGCTTGAAAGGACAAAGCTGTTACTATAAGTGATTCAAAACGCTTAAAGGTCAAATAAATGTCCATTCCAGTCACATCAGCAAAAAGAGCTAATTTACATCTAGGGCCATCTTCTTCAGATGATTCCATGTCCTTTTACCCCAATCTAGACTAACCTTTGCTATATGCAGTAATGAACATGAATTTGATTCCACAGTGAAAAGGCTTTCATTCAAACATTCTTGATATTCATCTTCCAGATGCAAATTCAGCTCACCAAGTTCCATGTGTACTGTGGTTCCTATACTAGAAATGTTGTTAGCAAATAGATGTAATGACTATGAGCACCCCTGCATTAGAAATCAAAGTCAAAGGTGTCTTAGTCATCGTGTTATACCAAAAGTCAAACATAAACTAATAGAGGCATACAAAGTGAAGAAAAGAAAAGAAAAATGAACGTACTCCAAAAGGAATATTATGTTACTCGAAATGGCAAATAAATTACAGATGTGAGTGACTGCAGAAGATCCTATACTGATATATAGAAGAAAAATTCTTATTTCAGTAAAACCATCATAAAGATACAAGCTATTAGTTAAAGTAGGATTCTTCTTTTAGCAATATGCTGATTTTAATTGGTCTAAATTTTAAGTGAATTGTTCATTATATAGATAGCCATCATGGTCCCACCACCTGGTAGCAAAAACATTGGCTCCACAACACAACAAACCAAAAGAAAATTACATTTGACTAATGCTTCAGTAGTGATGTGTTAGTGGCATGATCATCTTCCACAAAAAAAATTTGTTAGTCAAGAACTGAAACTAAACCACAACAAGGAACTAAAGAGTCCTATTCCACATATAAATCCTACAATACTAACTATATTGACATAAAAATATTACAAGCGGATTATGCACCTTCATATTCAAAATCATGTGCTAGTACAGCATGAGCAGCAATATGCCATCTCAGCCATTTCCTAGATACTCAATATAAATGAGACAGAACATGTTGCCTACATGATACAGTGGAACACCACAAATACTATAAAGCACAACCGTCATCTCAGGGGCTGATACAGTACATGTCCACATGATAACTTTGGATTCAGTTGATTGTGGCTTCTCCAGAGTATAAGTTTCCTCTTGAAGAACCATTCCCTTCTTTTTGGAGGACTGCAACCTCAACCATGGCTTCAATTTACTCAGTATAATATTGCATTGGGTCCCTCCAAGCTTAACATCAACCTATACTAGAAATGTTGTTAGCAAATAGATGTAATGACTATGAGCACCCCTGCATTAGAAATCAAAGTCAAAGGTGTCTTAGTCATCGTGTTATACCAAAAGTCAAACATAAACTAATAGAGGCATACAAAGTGAAGAAAAGAAAAGAAAAATGAACGTACTCCAAAAGGAATATTATGTTACTCGAAATGGCAAATAAATTACAGATGTGAGTGACTGCAGAAGATCCTATACTGATATATAGAAGAAAAATTCTTATTTCAGTAAAACCATCATAAAGATACAAGCTATTAGTTAAAGTAGGATTCTTAACCATCATAAAGATACAAGCTATTAGTTAAAGTAGGATTCTTCTTTTAGCAATATGCTGATTTTAATTGGTCTATATTTTAAGTGAATTGTTCATTATATAGATAGCCATCATGGTCCCACCACCTGGTAGCAAAAACATTGGCTCCACAACACAACAAACCAAAAGAAAATTACATTTGACTAATGCTTCAGTAGTGATGTGTTAGTGGCATGATCATCTTCCACAAAATAAATTTGTTAGTCAAGAACTGAAACTAAACCACAACAAGGAACTAAAGAGTCCTATTCCACATATAAATCCTACAATACTAACTATATTGACATAAAAATATTACAAGCAGATTATGCACCTTCATATTCAAAATCATGTGCTAGTACAGCATGAGCAGCAATATGCCGTCTCAGCCATTTCCTAGATACTCAATATAAATGAGACAGAACATGTTGCTTACATGATACATTGGAACACCACAAATACTATAAAGCACAACCGTCATCTCAGGGGCTGATACAGTACATGTCCACATGATAACTTTGGATTCAGTTGATTGTGGCTTCTCCAGAGTATAAGTTTCCTCTTGAAGAACCATTCCCTTCTTTTTGGAGGACTGCAACCTCAACCATGGCTTCAATCTACTCATTATAATATTGCATTGGGTCCCTCCAAGCTTAACATCAACCTATACTAGAAATGTTGTTAGCAAACAGATGTAATGACTATGAGCACCCCTGCATTAGAAATCAAAGTCAAAGGTGTCAACATAAACTAATAGAGGCATACAAAGTGAAGAAAAGAAAAGAAAAATGAAAGTACTCCAAAAGGAATATTATGTTACTCGAAATGGCAAATAAATTACAGATGTGAGTGACTGCAGAAGATCCTATACTGATATATAGAAGAAAAATTCTTATTTCAGTAAAACCATCATAAAGATACAAGCTATTAGTTAAAGTAGGATTCTTCTTTTAGCAATATGCTGATTTTAATTGGTCTAAATTTTAAGTGAATTGTTCATTATATAGATAGCCATCATGGTCCCACCACCTGGTAGCAAAAACATTGGCTCCAAAACACAACAAACCAAAAGAAAATTACATTTGACTAATGCTTCAGTAGTGATGTGTTAGTGGCATGATCATCTTCCACAAAAAAAATTTGTTAGTCAAGAACTGAAACTAAACCACAACAAGGAACTAAAGAGTCCTATTCCACATATAAATCCTACAATACTAACTATATTGACATAAAAATATTACAAGCGGATTATGCACCTTCATATTCAAAATCATGTGCTAGTACAGCATAAGCAGCAATATGCCATCTCAGCCATTTCCTAGATACTCAATATAAATGAGACAGAACATGTTGCTTACATGATACAGTGGAACACCACAAATACTATAAAGCACAACCGTCATCTCAAGGGCTGATACAGTACATGTCCACATGATAACTTTGGATTCAGTTGATTGTGGCTTCTCCAGAGTATAAGTTTCCTCTTGAAGAACCATTCCCTTCTTTTTGGAGGACTGCAACCTCAACCATGGCTTCAATCTACTCATTATAATATTGCATTGGGTCCCTCCAAGCTTAACATCAACTTCTACTCTAACAGGTGAGACTGGCTGAAAAGCAACAGCACCAAAGAGAATAAGCCAATTAACCAACCCAATAAATCATACATGTGGAACTGACAATATATTTACCATATCACCAACACAAGGCCTAGCCATCCTAATAGAAACTATTCAACCACCAATCCTCCAAAAGTGCATAACAGGATGAATCAACTATTCATTTCTACCAAGCTACAATGCTAGACATACACCCACATAAAATGCTGATGCCAGATCAGATCCAAGGATTTCTTATAGGCACTTCATATGATAGTTCCCAAATTCATATTCATCAGAGATCACATGGTAAAAGGCAGAAAGCAAAGCAACAACTGAATGAAGTGTAAACTTGATCACAGAATTTTGCTATTAAAACATATTTTACCAGTTGTACCACACAGAAAAAGTAAAGGATAACAACTTGGCAAATATCCAACCTGCAATGATTGCACAGTACCTGACTGTATTGGAATGTAGACAAAAGAGACAACATCAACTTTCATTATCTGCAATACAGAAGATCCAGCTTCCCTAAGAAGCTGAAAGTGAGAAAAACAAAACTCAATAATAGGCTGAGATGAAAGATAATAATTTAAATAATAAAACATAAAGCTGGGACATCAATAGTAAGGACTATACATGTATCTCACTGAAATCCAACTGAACATCAAGGCGTGTACTCTCCCCCACATCCTCAGTTGATCTTGATTTGATGCATTTCAATTGAATGCCCATGATGTTATTCTCAACAGCAATATCATGTTGCCGATGCATAAATTTCACATCTAGTTTTGGCAAGTTGAAGCAAATCTGTCTCAAAGAACAAATGAATGAATGAATTAAAACTAAACTTCCCACCAGCGCATTCAAATAACAAGAGCAACACTTATCTTCTTAACTTTTAGCAAGATATTGTCATGCATTCAATTTTTATAGGCACATTCAATTTTTAGTTCTCACTGATCAACAAAAGAAAATATGGCTTCACCAAACAAACATTCATCCTCTTTTATATGGTTTAGAATCTCTATAATGCACCTCTTCATTGGAATCTGTTTTTTAGTTTCTTCCATTATTTTTATTGTTACATAAGCATGCTACCCGCAACACTAAACCGAGTTTTCCAAGCAGGCTGGAATTACATCTACACTTGCTCATTCCAGTAGAACGTCAAATAACAATTTTCATGATAACTAAGGAACAATCACAACCGAGCCCAAAACTAATGTATTACTCTGATAATGAAGCTGCCTACAGTTGCTTCTAATCTTTGAATTCAATGAGTGAAAACACAAACCTTTGCTGGAAACATAGAAGTATACTTTGTCAATGACAAAATTGCAGCTTGATTTTTCTGAGGTTTTCTGGTGGTTACAGAATCAGCAGTTGACCCTGCAACTTTATCAGTTTGACTAAGTACATCTTGTTTTTTATTCTTTGAGAGCAGCTCCTCATTGAAGTTCACAACAATCTCTCCACAGTTAATGTCCACGTTTTGAACAGCTACACAGCTTCCCTGATTGCAGATTAAACAAATAGAGCAACATTTCAGTGCATAAAGAAAAAGCCAAAACACGGGATACATGAATAAGCAGATAATATGTGTATGAGAAAGAAAGCAACCCAAGGGAGCGTAAAGCAAAAGGTAAAACTCACCACCCTTAACTAATCGACAAACTTATGTCAAATAAAATGGGCCGCAATGGTTTGAGCATTATAAAGAAAATTCCAGAAAGAAAAGAAATACCTATCATGGCAAAATTCGCAAGAAAGAGAGAACTCTTCGCAGCTAAAAGAACAAGAAGGCTTCTCTATAATGCCAGAGAGCATCTGAATAGCATAGACATAAAACGGTAATATGTGCAGCTTAACGAACAAATTGTGTTTGGAGCCACTATCCTTAAATATGTCTACTTTTCAGCAACCGCTCTAGGTGTCTGCATAGTTTCAAGATACAACTAACTTTAGTATAAGAACTTAAAAGAAAAAGCAACAGAAAAAATAGATAATTAATAACGAATAAAATTTGTGGATCTATGTAAAACTAGGGCATTCAGATACTGTCAAACCCTGACAATGATACAGCATAAATGACATTTAGTTTCTAAACAAAATCAAGATGAAGTCACAAATATGTTTATTAGAATCATACTCCAAGATCAATACTCCCAAATCGTGTAGATGTGTGATATTATGCGGCAATGCAAAAAGTTTTAACAGAATTTCTTATTTGATAACTTACAATCATCCCCCACCACATCCGTAGCTCCCCAGTTATCATTTATTCCAGAACACACACAACAAAGACACATCAAAAGCATTAACAATTATGTGCTGAAAATGAATTATGCAAAAGTTAAATCATTACTCAAAATGGAGAAAAAAGGGTCAAGACTGTTTACCTTCATGACCAAATCCGTGACAAAAACCGAAAAATATCTTGCAATGTTAGCTACAACCATCCACTTTCCCTTTCCCCTTCCTGATGTGCGAGGTTTCCGCAATCTAGATTTCTGTGAGCTTTTACTCGAAGGCCTCAATACAACTTCCAAGTCGCATATCAACACCTGCAGCTTTGGATCCTTAGAAAGAATGCCAGCCCCAAGTTTAACCAAGGACTGGCATAGACTAAGCTTGATTTCACCCACTAATATGGATTCAACAGCACCCTGAATTTTTTTTTTCAAGAAATAAAATATGATGAATGATTACATAGGTTTCGATATAGGAGCCAGAAAAAAAAGGCAATAAATTATACGAAATCAACATACTGGTCCATAACTATATATATATATATATTCCAGTCAAATGGATTCAACTCAAAAAGACACTTATCTATTGCTCGTGCCTCCTGAACATCCATTTAAATTTATTTCAAATGCACATTGTTGACCCCAAATTAAAACAAAATGAAAGGACATGGGATGACAAATTTCTCCACACACTAACACAAAAAAAAATTACAGAGATAAAACATGCACCTTGCAAACCAAATCCAGGACAAAGTAATGCATATAAGTTGACAGAAAAAAAACCTGTCATTGCAGTAACATGACAAGTGGTATGGTCCATCATATAAGAAACAAATACCAAGAACTTAACCCCAAAGGCACAACATGAAAGGAAACTTCAATTTAAAAAGGTCCATGCTACTATATAAGTCAAATTACTTTGTATTATTCTCTTAAAAAAATCTAGTCCAAGATCTACTTTGTTATTGGTAGGAAAAGGAGCATGAGAGAAAGATGCAAGAGAAAAAAGGAAAGAAAAGTAAAGACATATTTCAGAAATGGAAGCGGTACCTACTGGGAAGCATATGTGAACAACCAAAGTTTTCTATCTAATTTAGCAGTCTAATTTTCAGAAATAGTTTGGGTAAAACAATGGATCATGAAATAATGAAAAACTCTTCGATCAAAAAAGAAAGAAAGAAAGAAAGAATGGAAAACTCATGTAAGTGCAATAATTTTTTACTTTTCCCCTCTCATAATTCCATCCTACTAAGCAAGTAGAAGAAACATTTTATTTTTTGCATCCACTTTTCTCTCCTTTCCAAGGAGGAAACATAACTTACCTGCTCCTGCTCGTAGAAAATTGATTAACACTGGAAGGAAAGTTAAGTTGTTCAACAATATAATGACTCCCTTATTAGCAACTAGCAGAGGCTTTACTACCTAAATTACATGTATGAAACATTATTTATGGAAACAACCAGTTGAAGTACAGGAAAACACCTTATTGAACTTTACAACAACATCCTTCAAACATTTCCATCCACCAACAAGGAATCCAACAGATGCTCCAAGTATCCTGCTTAGAATCCAAGCCAGCAACCTTGAAGCAAAACTGCAAAGGGAAGTAAACATATAACAGAGGTTCACCGACAGCTTATGGATTATCACTCCCAATTTCAAACAGAGGAGACGCACTAAATTCAGAAATAAAAAAGCAAGGTGATGAAAAGAAAAACAATTTCGCTACAAAGATATCTCATTGGAATCATTCTGCTGAAGAGAAGAATAGATACATTATGACGCCAATTATCTAATTGTAATAAGTTAATATGAGACAGATTTGTCATCGCAATTTGAAAAAACACCAAGAAACATAAAAAATAACAAAAAGATTTCCAATTTTCTTTTTATAAAAAAATCAAATACATAATAATAAAATCGAAATGCATAAGCGAAAAGCTGATCGAAATAACATTTCAGAATTCAGATAATAAACTAATAAAAATAAAAATGCCGACAATTGCATAAACAATTTTTAACAGAGTGCAAAGCACAGGGACTTACATGAAAACCATCAACAATGTGATGGAAGTCATAAAGAATCCAAAGAGAAACTTGACAGGAGAAGCCGCCATTTTTTTTCTTGTGGCAAGACTTCAATTCTACGAACCGTAGAAAATCCGATCAAATCATCCAATTCGAAAAAAAAAAGAGGACGAAGCAACGGCTAATGTATCAGCTTCTGTACGTAATAGCATCGCAAAGTAGAAGAACAAAGGAGGAGACGAAACCCTAAAGGAATTGTGCTTCGAAAAGATAGAAAGCGATCTGATAGTTTACTAGAAGCAATGAGAATGACTCTTCAAGGACCAGCGATAGAAAGGGAGAGTGTTGACATGAAAGAAGATCCGATCCATCATTTGGTCGATGAACAAATGAACTGACTGCTCCTGTTTTTAATTTCCGGTTTTCTTTTTTCCTTTTTTTTTTTTTTAATTTTATTTCACAAGTAGCGAATGGTGGGATCAAGTGGTGTGAGGGTGCAAGGGAGATGGGTGTGCTTAGGATGCCCCATTTTTAAATGTCGAATGTGTCCTCGGGAGATTGCGAGGGAATCAGGAAGAGTCAACGCCTCAACGGTGCGTTTTGTTTTGGGTCGGCAACCCAACATTCTGTTTTGGACCTTCGGTAGTGAGGAAGAATTGGGTTACCTGTAAGCAACGTGGATTTGGTGCCGTGGCTGAACTTGATTGGTCCAAAAATGTGGTTAAATTTTGAGTCGATCCAAAAAAAAGATAATTAACAATTACGATGATTTTCTTAATAAATAGAAATTTAAATGCTAAAATCAATATTTAGACAACTTTCACAATATTAAATTTTAGATTCTACCTTTCACTTGTTTAAAACTGTTGTCCGAATCATAAATTAAATGATAAATAATTTAAAATTAAGACTTCAGTTAATATTAATTCCAAATTTAATTATTGTACAACTCATACCCCTTCTTAAAATTTAATCAAATGCACAAACCAAACTCTCAAATGCAAAAATAAAATGTAATTTAAATACCAATATGATAAAGATGTCTATATGCTTAAGTTGTTTTATCTAAATATGTTTTTTTTTAATATTTTACATAAATTCATATTTTTCTCTAAAACTCATGTACAATATATCAGTTGACTTAGTATTACAAATAAATCAAATAATAAACAAATATGTAAATCTTTTGTTGTAATGCATACAGTCATTTGTTCAAAAATAGAAGGATGAAAATGAAGATATTAACTTACTTTTAATTTGAATAAATAAAGTATTTTGTCAGAGATAAAACAAAATGTTGAAAATATAAGTTGCACTGAAAATACAACTTTGAAAAAAAAAGGTATGATAATTTTTCAACAATTAGGTACCGAATGGTGCATAGTCAAAAAGAGCTTGATTTTGTTGAAAAAATTAAATGGGATAATCACAAACTTTAGTCCCTAGACTTTAGGGTATTTATAAGATTAGTCCTTAAGCTTCAATTATAAATACCCTAGCTCATTTAGCTTCAAAATCATCCCAAATCATTCTAGCTTTCTCCCAATACTAGAGAATTTAGAGAGTTTCTTGAGAGTTGTTTTCTCCCTTTTATCAAGAGAGAATTATCATTGTTTTATCCTTGGTAGATCGAGAGAAGTTGTAATTCTTATTTTCTCATAGTGAAATTCTTCTACTGTTGCCCGTGGTTTTTGCCCTATATTATTTAGGGGTTTTTCACGTAAATTTTGTGTCTATTTTATATTCATTTTTATTTTCTCAAATTATCAGTTGCGATTTTGCTCTATCCGATAGCTGTCTTCCGCAACAATCGGTATCCGAGCCAGATTTAAGTGTGTAATAGCTGCTTATTGTCTTTGTGGTTGTCACCAAAAGGTGGATCCTCCAACATAAGAAAGTAAGAATGTATTACTCATTCTTTGAAGGTTCTAGAGAACTATTCACGATAGTGAAATAGTGGGAGTTATCCGTAATAGAAGCTATGACAACGAAATTTGATATTGAAAAGTTCAATGAGAGAAATTTCTCATTGTGGAAATTAAAGATGAAAGACATCCTGAGGAAAGACGGTTGTCTAGAAGCTATCAGTGAAAGGCCGGTAGATTTCACAGATGACAACAAATGGATCGAAATGGACGGGAATGCTATGACAAACTTTCATCTGGAATTAGCAGATGAAGTCTTGTCAAGCATCGAGGAGAAGAAGCCAGCTAAGGAGATATGGGATCATCTCACCAAATTGTACGATGCCACATTGCTACACAATAAATTTTTTCTTGAGAGGAAATTGTACACTCTCCGTATGCCAGAATCTACTTCAGTGATGGAACACTTAAACGCGTTGAACACTTTATTTTCTCAACTTACATCCCTAAGATGTACAATAGGAGAACAAGAACGTGCTAAACTTCTACTTCAAAGTCTACCTGATTCGTATGATCAACTCATCATCAACTTGACAAATAGTAATGTAACCAGTCTAGTCTTCGATGACGTTGCAGTTGTTGTTCTACAAGAAGAAAATCGGCGCAAGAACAAGAAAGACAGACAAGTAAATCTGCAACAAGCAGAAGCGTTGACAACAATGAGAGGGAGATCAACAGAACATGGCCAAAGTAGCAGTCACAAACATGGTAGATCGAAGTCGAGATGAAAAAAGAATTTAAAGTGCTACTATTGTGGAAAGAATGGTCACTTGGAGAATGATTGTTGGAGTCTAAATAAAAACTCCAATCCATAAGGCAATACCGCAAATACTTCAGATGATGGAGATGCTCTATGTTGTGAAGCGTCAACCACCGTGGAAGGTAGAAAAAAGATTTGCAGATATATGGCTCATTGATTCGGGAGCAAATTATCACATGACCTCAAGAAGAGAATGGTTCCATCATTATGAACCAGTCTCAGGAGATCTGTGTATAGTTGCAATGATCATGCCTTAGAGATCGTTGGCGTGAGAACCATCAAATTAAATATGTATGATGGAATAATTAAAGTTTGTAACATCCTCAATACCGGGTTAGTGACCAAATTATAAAGTTTCAGAAATTGGTGATTAAAGTAGGATAATTGAATAGTTCAATGATTTATTAGAAATATGATGAAGGTTATTTAGTAATGATTGAATGAATTAAAGGGTAAAATGGTCAATTAACAAGTGAGATTTTTATATTCCTTTTATAAGATAAGGAACCACGTGGGAAATGAGAGAATTATCCAGAGTTTTCTTTATTCTTCTTCCTCCTCCCGTATCTCCAAGCTCAAAGGTGAGTTTCTTTGTTTATGGATTAATTGTTGATTTTAAGGTTGGGTTTTGATTATTAAATGATAATTAAGCTTAAGGAAAGCTTAAGTTATCTTAAAATCAAAGTATGATGGAGTTAGGAGGGATTAAAGATTTGAGGTTCTTGGGTGAAATCTTGAAATAAAGTTCATAACTAGAGTTGGAAGTTAAATTTGACTTGTCAAGGGTCTAATTAAGAAGTTAGAAGCCATAGAATTGGAATCAAAACATATTGCAAAGTTGGTTTAATTCTTGAGTTACATATGAAGAGTAGAATTTTGAAGTTAAAAATGGTTTATATGGATATAAATTGGTTTAAGCATGTGTATATGAGTTGAGAACATGAAAGGGGATGAAAGATGAAGCATTTGAGTAGATTTTCGGGCTTAAAAATGAATTCTGGGCTATGTGCATCGATACCGATGCATCAAGGGTAAATTTCCAGAAATTGTTCAGAGTGTATCGATACACAGGAAGTGCATCGATGCACCCATTAAAAATGGAAACATCGAATGTAGTTAGTGCATCGATGCACCCCCTTAAAATGAAAAACATCGAAGGTGATTTATGTATCGATGCATGGGTAGTGCATCGATGCACATGTTAAAGAATGCATCGATGCACTGTGGAATGCATCAATGCTCGATGCACTTCAAGGGGAAATTGAAATAGAAATTTCTTTAGGTCTAAGAAATGATAAATTAGAGTATATCAATGAGATATTGATATGTATTAATGTATGATTATGTAGATATCGAACATGAACAAGTTCCAGAACGAGTATCAAGTTAAGATTCGATCGAAAGAGAGGAAATCATAAAAGGGGATCGAAACTTAGTGAGGCCAATGTGAGTGCATATTAGTTAGTTTATGGTGCTAAATGGAAACAAGACTTGTGACAAGTTTATTTCCTATATTAGAATGCATGAATATATATGATTATATGTATATGAATGACATGAATTGTATGTATACTTGATTATATGTGTTAACATGCTTTTGAATGTAATGATATGAGAAGTATGTGCTATGTGATGTATATATATGAACATATGGGAAACTGAACTATATGACTGCATGAGAAAGATATGAGCTTATATGACATGTTATATGTGAACATGAGAAAACAAAGTATAAGATATGAGCTATGTGGTCCTATGAGAATATGAAAAGAAGCTATGTGACTACATGTATATGTGAAAGAAGCTATGAGCTTATATGACATGTGAAATGATAAAGTGAAAATGCCCATGTTATATGATACAAGAGCTATAGGTATAGTTGGCATGCCAAGAGTTGAGGGTCTACGCGGTCCTTCAGGACATACAGTGATCCTCGGGATATTTCATAGGTCTTTCGGGATAAAATTTCATAGCCCCTAATGGGACCCCTTACGAGCTGTGGTGACAGTATAGTGCACAACCTCAATAGGCTCACATATCTACAGTTCTCACAGGTGTACATGGGCTAATAAGAGATAACATTAAATACAATGTATGTGATATATATATATATATATATATATATATGTTTTGTGACATGAAATATATGATATAATATATGTGTGTTAATGATTATTGTATATATTATAAGATATATGATATGAACATAATAGATCATATAAACAAGAGAATAGAAATATGAATGGATATATGTTTGGGTATGAGGTGATAGCAGTAATTGTTCATGCATGATTACAAGTTATAGCTTTCATTATATGTTTATTGCCTCACTAAGTCATAGACTTAGCGTGTAAGTGATTTACACATAGGTTTCAAGAAGAGTAAAGAGCAATGTGGAACAAGACAGGTCAGTTCTCCTTACTGAATGTCAGATCAAAAGAGAGGTGAATAATATGTACTTTATATATATAAAGTTCTAGTTGGCATGTATGGTAAAATAATATATTGTATAAGCTCTGAATAGTTTTGTAAACGTTTTGAATAAGTTTTATATGTTATAAAAGTTTTAAATTACCCACAATTTTATATAAGTAAATGTTTTGAAAAGTCAATGTGATACCTCAGACTCGTATTCAGGTTGAATATGGGTTGGGGTGTTACATTTAATGGTATCAGGGCTAAGGTTTAGCCGATTCTAGGCTTAAATCAAAGTCAAATGAGGTTTAAAAATGTGTACATGACAACTAAAAGTGAAAATTTCTGATATGATAGTGTAAGGAGTATGATGACTTGCTAATAGAATAAGATTTATATGATATAGTA